TTATTGGAGGTTGGAGCTCAGTCAAGATATAGAGGGAAATATGGGAAGAAACGGGGTTACTCTGTCACAGACGCTATATCAATAGTTTAAAGAGTGAAAATTGTTTTTAGAAACCTCCTGCCAACTATCAAATCATGTTGGTAAAATGTTAGAACGTATTTTGTATACAGGAGATCCCAATTCGATATCCTGCCCACAAAACTCTGCCCATGTGGCCATGTCTATTCACAACATATTATCTCCGTGTATTCAGAACATCTCTCCTTGTAGGAGGATAAAATATTCTCATATGTGTATATGGATAAACTTGGACAGGAGATCTAGACTCTTCTCCTAACTACCCTCCTGCTGGGATTATTAAATTCATCCAAGATATGCCATAAGCACCAACTCCAAGGAAGAACCACACACTTCTGAATGCATCAATCCAGATGATCAGATCCCAGTTAGGCCCGGCTCATCCCACAAACGAAGCCCATCCAGGAGGTTTTGAGCTTCCGGTCGTGTGTTTGTTGCTACATCATAGAATTCCGCAAAAGCCAATAACAGGTTGCCAACTTGCCATGGCCCATGGATGGAGGTCTCTAATGATACCTCCACCACATACAATTTCCTTCAAGTCAGGATATGAATTCTAGGAATGGTACGTTTTATCTACCAATAACGTTTTGCTAATTTGCTTTGCCACATCACCAACCAATTTGCAGCATGCGAAAGTAAAAGATGTAGCAATGAGGAGAGTTTGGTTTGTTCTTCTCTAGCTATATCCAACCTATTAATTCTCGCATCTCATTTTACCCATTACCTCTTTGCCCGTTATTTCCTTTGGATACGTTCAGCTCCATACATTTAGATCTGACGCATTAGATTTGAGGGTTTGGATAGATAAGATAGAGCCTAACGCAAATAGAGTTGGACTTGGCCTGAGTGACCTTAATAAACCAAGCCGTAGACATATTAATAAATTCCCAATTAATGTACTTTCGGCTTAGTGCCAATTTGGTTCCCAAATTTTAAAACACAACAATTCAGTATCTAACTTTTAAAATGTGTCAATCTACTATCTGTCGTTAAGTGATATTTGAAAAGACACAAATGTCCTTCAAGTGTTATCTATTTTTTTTTTATCAATCATTCAATCGTTGATAAAAAATATGAGCAGTCTCAAATCCTTCATCTTCTATTCAAAAAAATTGGAGTCACCAAAATGCCCAATGAGACATGACCCCAACTTTCCTTACTAGAACAGACACGGATTTAGGACTATTATTTTTTGTCAACATTTGAATGGTTGATAAAGAGAATTAAATAACACTCGAAGGGTATTTGAATCTTTTCAAATACCACTTGACAGCTGGTTAATGCACTGGTTAACGGCAGGTACTGTATTGGCATGTTTTGAAATTCCAGGTACTAAATTATCGCACTTTAAAGATTGGGGACCAAAGTGGCATTAGGCCCAAAGTACATAGTATTAATCGGGAATTTTCCCAAAAAGAAAAATAAAACTTCCAGAATGATATGTGTTGGTTACGTCTTGTTAGCACTTGGTAGCAGATCTAAACCCTTGAGAGTTTTCTTCATTTATAGTACATGCTTGCTGCTATATTTTCTCCTTCAATACAAAGTAGTTAAGGCTGTGTTTGTTTGCGATACAAACATCTAATCGGAGCATTTGTTAGTGTTTGTTTGTTATGCAAAAATGCAACAATTAATAGGGGAAAATGTCTTTTCTAACATTTTAGTAGCGTGAAGAGAGTGTATTATTGTACCTATTTTTTGGAAACAATTTTGCATTTTTTTAATCTCGAGTTGATCGAATGAGCTAGAGACCGCCGTACTGCCTTTTGCATTGATTCGAAACAAACAGGTAGAGAACAAAAATGGGTTAGAACTGAGAACCCACTTTGCATTCAAAAAGTATTTGCATTTGCATATTATGAATTCCTATCTAATTGTATATATAAATACTCCTATACTTAAACACTAAGGTTATGTTTGGTTACACAAATACCACCTTTTGTACTTGAATCTTGTTTGGTGAGACTTGCGTGTTTTTTTCGTCCATATTAGCACTACATCATCAAAGTATTGATACAACGATACTTGCTTCCCAAAGCAAGAAATACTCAATTGTTTTTTACTTTTTTTTTTTCTTGAAATACCCCCTAACATTGGTCAATGGATCATGCGAAATGTGTTTTTTGACTGTTTTAACTCAAAGTTTCCAACCAAATAGAAAGTTGAATTGAACTATTATTATTTATGTGGTGGCATTTATATTGGAAACACCAACGGTACCAAACAGCCCGTAAATGAATATATATTTTCTAAGGTAGATCCAAATTTGGTTCATTTATATTCAAATGTAAATTAAATTCAAATTTTTATATTCAGATGTGAATTCGCAATGCGTATGGTGATCTTATATGTGGTTGGTCCTCGAGATCCACCTGCACCATAGTGTTGGGGGATAGAAGCTACTGCTTTTAAGGAAGACTTACATTGGCCTCGTTGCCAATGTCCATGCTCAAAAGGATTATTGCTTGAATTTAATGGCTTTAAATTTCTACCAAAAAAAATCTAATGGCTTTAATTGACTTAAAAAGTTAAATTCAAATTGATCAAAACATATTATATTATTAATAAAATAAAATTTCACTGCAATACTAAAGAAAAAATTTAAACCAGTTAACCGGTATCATAAAAGTACTAAGGGTCCATTTGGTTTGCAGTTGGATTTAGAAGCAGAGTCAAAATCAAAATACTTCGGAATCAAAATCAGAATGGTCTATTCCCATAGTTTGTTTGGTTCAAACGAGAATAGAAATGAAGATTGAAATCAGAAAGAATGGAATTTCATTCCCAAGAGAGGGGCAGGGAATGGCCATTCCCTCAAATGGGGAATGCCATTCCAGCAGGAATGGGAATGGGATTCCAATTCTGCCCAACCAAGCAATTGGAATCGAAATAGCCCATTCCAAGTTGGATACCAGACCCCTATTCCCGTGAACCAAACAGGGCCTAAGGTATTCATCCAAATTCACACGATTAATCCATCATCATAGATTTACCCTAAACTAAAAATAACATGATCATAATGAATTAAAAACACAAACCCAAACCAATTTTATTAATTTATTAAAATGGAATGTGCCAAGTTGGCACTTTCCTGGTTTCTTCTCAAAGTCATTTATCTTTTTTTTTTAGTTTTTTCTTAAATATATTTATCTTTTTTCAGGCGCTTTCTGTCTTTTATGTTTTGACCCTCAAACAAGGAAGTCTTTCTTTCTTCTTCTTTTTTTTGAATTTTTATTTTTTAATTCAATGTCATATTCTACAGTTAGCCAATAAAATGCTAAAGACATCTAGCTTTCCAAAATGTTTCTTGCCAAAGGCAATGGAGCTAACCAATCAAATGTAGGAGGAAAGTTTAGTTTTCCAAATGAGTCTCACATACATAAGCCTACGCAAGAGAGAGAGAGAGAGAGTCATAACTTGCATTCCCAAAGGCGATGATGTCACCACAAAACTAGGCAACCATGAAGGAAGGTCTCACAAAGGCCACAAATTGTCATCCTCTGTTATTACTTGCATTGTATTTGTTAACTTGTTTGGTATCAAAGCCAAGTTTTTATGCAAATAATGTAAGGAAGTTCAAATAGGATGATTTCATTAAATGAAAGCAATTGGTCTCTTTGGAAATCAAAGATGAAGTATATGTTGCTTTCCAAAGACTTGTATGCACCATTGAAAGATGAACAAGGCAAGTACAAGGATATGTCAAGTTACAAATGGGAAATTCTTAATTTGAAAGTAGTTGCATGTATCTGACAAAGGTTGGATGGTAGTATTTATCATCTTGTGACAAATGAAACTTCAACCATTCCACTCTGAAACAAGTTGAAACAGTTGTATGAGAAGGAATCCGTCGATAATAAGGCTTTCTTAATAAGAAAGCTCATAAATTTGAAATACAATGAAGGTTCATCCATTATCGAACACTTAAACCAAATGAAAGATGTTGTAAATCAGTTTGTTTCAATGAAAATGGTATTGGATGATGAGCTTCAAGCCTTATTGTTACTTAGTTAATTGCTAGAAAGTTAGAAGACGCTTGTGATGTCTCTTAGCAACTCTACACCTGATGAAAAAGTCACAATGAGTATGGTAAAAAGCAACTATTCAATGAGGAAATTAGAAGAAAATCATTGTATATTAGCAAATCAGATGCACTTCTTATAGAAAGTCGGGGTATAAGTCAAAGTCGAGGTCCATATAACCATGACATGTCTAGAAGTAAATCCAAGTCAATAAAAGATATCACTTTCCATTATTGCAATAAGCCAGAAAACTTCAAAAGATAATGCAAAAAATTAAAAAGTGACAAAAAGAAAGAAAAAGGGGACAAAAAAGAAGGAAATGAGACGATTGCATTTGTTTCAGATGGTGAAGCTATGATTTTTGCAGGTTGTGAAGAGTCCTGTTTTAGCCTTACATGCCAAGACATAGATTGGATCATTGACAATCGTGCTTCATACCACACTACTCTACACAAGGAATTCTTTGCTATTTACAAATCAAATGATTTTGGTATTGCAATAATGGATAACAACTACACATAAAAAATTGTAGGGTTAAGTAATGTACAGATAGAGAACGATGTTAGTTGTAAATTGATTCTCAATGATGTAAACCATGTATTAGATTTTCGCTTCAACCTAATTTCTAAAAAAAAAAAAATAGATGAAAAATGTTACAATTTTGACGAAGAAAAATAAATTCTCACCAAATGATCTCTTATAATAGCAAAGGGACGAAAATGTTCTACTCGTTACAAAATAAAAACTCAATTATGCAAATGGCTTTTTTTTTTATATAAAAAAACTCCTCCAACTTATGACATAAGCAACTTATTTGTGCAAGGACTCGATATAAAAGGTGCGAACCCCATGTATTAAATATGACGTGGAACCTTATCTTTGATTCCACAGCCCGCTTAACAGCCATCGCGTTCAGTAAATCGAATTCACAAATTTATGGGTTCCGACTTCCAACTTGACATCCAAAGTCCAAAGTCTAGTAACTAAATTACCTGACAGGTTGCTGGGCTATGTAAATGTAAGCTCCAGAGTCCAAATCCAAAAAACCTAGGCCTCTCCCGCCTGATCCCCAACGCGCCAACGACAATGGAAAAGAAACCAAAACCTCCGTCCCTCCGGCACCGTCTGACCCACCTAGACACCACATTGTCCCTCCACATCCACACCATATGCCAACCATTTCCCCGTCCCCTTCTCAAAGCCCTCGAGATCAGTGGCGATGGCTTGTTCTGGATTCCGATCCCTATCGCTCTCTTCTTCACCCCTCTCGCTTCGAAATCCGTTCATGTGCGGTTCCTCCTCGTTGGTCTCTTCATCGGTTTCTTATTCGACCTTATCCTAGTCGGCCTCATCAAGTATCTGGTCCGTCGGCCTCGCCCCGTCTACAATACGGGTATACATCTTACCTTCTCCGTCGATCATTGGTCTTTCCCTAGTGGTCACTCCTCTAGGGTTTGCTTCATCGCCGCTTTTTTGTATCTTTCCATGGAGACGGTTTACCAAGCTGTGGTTCAATTGAAGTCTTCTGGAAATAGATTTTTTAGTGAAACGATCGATCCTGACGGTAAGACCGTTGAACTCTTCTTCTTGTCTACTTGCTTGTGGTCGGCAGCGACGTCGGTTTCTAGGGTTTTGCTTGGTCGACATTTTGTTTTTGATGTAATTGCAGGTGCTTGCGTGGGTGTTTTTGAGGCTTTTGTAGTGTACTATGTTATGAACTTCTTGAATTTGGAATTGTGAGTTCCGCGTGTAATTTATGCATTTTTTAACCAAACCTTTATGTATCAACAATCTTATTAAATTTTATGGAAGATAGTTTGCTTGATTACTGTGTTCTTCTGTTTACATGCCATTGGATTGAATTTAATTCTTTTCCTTTTCTGTTGTTCTTTTAAGGGTCCGTTTGGTTCATAGTCGGAATTGGAATCGGAGTGGTCTATTCCTATAGTCTGTTTGGTTCAGACAGGAATCGAAATTGGAATCAATTGGAATGAGATTTCATTCCCAAGGGAGGGGGAGGGAATGGCCATTCCCTCAAATGGGGGAATGCCATTCCAGCAGGAATGGGAATCCCATTCCCATTCCAGCAGGAATGGGAATCCCATTCCCATTCCGCCCAACCAAACAGTTGGATTCAGAATGGTCCATACTGATTCCAATTCCAAACCCCTATTCCCGCAAACAAACAGGACCTAAGTTTATTGCTATCTGCATTTTCTTTAGTTATACTAGTCAGCAAGTAAGCAAACTTAGTGTGGAGGTCAGTTGAAAAGCTTCTGAACAAGTGATAACTGTAGGAGCTAGGTTCCATGGTTCTTTGGTTTTCTTATTGATATTTGATAGTTGAATTTTGTATTTTAAAAGTCAGGGCCCGAAATATTGGTTTAAATTCTAAAAGTATAGGTTGGTAAGGTTATGAACAGATTAAAAATAAAAGGGATTGGGGCTAAAGTTGGGCACTCAGGGTGATGCTAGTTAGAGTTCTAGGTCTGGCTGTAGTCTAGGTTAGTGCTCTTAACTGGGTAGAAATTGGGCACTCAGGGTGATTGGATTGGTAACGCCAAGTACATCAGGTTCTTAAGGCTGAATCTAGGGTTAAGCAATTCTAACTTAGAAGTCTGTATATGGCATGGGTGCCAAATGTTCAGGTATTTACAAATGTCCAATACATCAACCTTTAGACAAATCATGGGATTGGGAGGCATCCATATTTAAATATTAGATTGGTTAGGTAATATTAATTATAGTAAAAATGATGAAGTTAAAAGATTAACCAAAATGCCAGTACTTCATTTGTTGTCTCGTTTCGATGATATCTTCAAAGAATATTGCCAAGATTTTTTGTTGACTTCAGTTTGGGTTATCTTTAATATGTTACAAGAAGCTTTGGGCCCAGAGGCAAGTTTTATCATGGCTACATATTAATTTTGAGGATTCTTGGTAAATTTGTTGTTAGGTTGGATTTTTCCATAGGTAGTTTAAATTGCATGCATATGGGATGAGGTGCTTATGTAACCTTGCTTCTCCTAACAGACTTTGTGGCAGAATATCTGATTGGAAATAAGTAATTATGTATAGAAAAGAGTGAATGCTAATAATAATTTTTTGAACATGTGCTACTTAAAGTGACAATTAGGTACACCACATAATTTCAAAAACCTAGAAGATTGCGAGCTTAAAGAAATTCCATTGCTGCAAGCTAGATTCACCTGATCCAACTTTCAAGTTAATCCGTTGTGTTCAAAGCTGGATAGGTTTCTATTCAACCTAGAATGGGAAAACTACTGGGGAAATTTGGTCTCTAGAGCTTTGCCTAGGGTCACATCAGACCATTGTCCCATCAAGATTGGTGTGGACTGTGGAATCCCTAGTTAGTGGACCTAAACCATTTAGGTTTGAGAATATGTTGTTAACTCATCCTGGTTTTGAAAGCATAGTGAAGGACTACTGGAATGAGGAGTTAAGGGGAATAAAGTGGAAAGGAATCAAATTTCATCAAAAGCTGCAGAGACTGAGAGTCAAATTGAAGGAGTGGAATAACAATCAATTTGGTAGGGTAGAGGAACAAAAGTTGAGCCTAGTAACACAAATTGAAAAAAATGGATGACAAGGAAGCCCAAGGATTGTTGAGTGAGCTGGATAGAGAATCAAGAAGGCAATTGAAGAAAGACCTAGAAGAGGTTTTACTCAGAGAAGAGATTTGCTGGAGGCAAAAGTCAAGGCACAAGTGGATTAAGGAGGGGGATGGGAATACTAGGTTCTTTCACGAGTTGGCGAATGGTAGAAGGAGGAAGAACTTAGTGGCTAGACTAGAGCTAGAAGGGCAGGTAGTTCCCAATCAAGAGGATATAGCTAGGACCTTTGTAGATCACTTTAAAGCTGTCTATAGAAGGTCTTTGAATGAGAGGGTGCCTTTGGAAGGTTTGGAATGGCCGAGATTAGAGGGAGAAAAAGCAAGGTGGTTAGAAAGGAATATTGAAGAAGAGGAAATCGGGAGGGCAGTGTTTATGATGGATAGATCTAAGGCGCTAGGTCCCGATGGATTTACTATGGCTTTTTACCAAGACTGTTGGAACATTTTGAAAGAGGATTTATGTGCTGTTGTTGAGGAATTCTTAGAGAATCATATAGTAAGTCCGGGAGTCAATGCCACTTTCTTGGCCTTAGTCCTTAAGAAATCAGATGCTATCCAGCCGAAGAATTTCAGGCCAATTAGTTTGGTAACTAGCATCTATAAAATCCTATTTAAGGTGTTGTCTTTGAGGCTTAAAGCAAGTCTCCCATCCCTAATAAGCCAAGCCCAAGGAGCCTTTGTACAAGGGAGACAGATAGCATATCAGATCCTGATTGCCAATAAGTGCGTGGAGGATATGAGAAGATCTAAAAGAAAAGGCTTTGTTTGTAAATTGGATCTAGAAAAGGCCTATGATTTGGTGGACTGACACTTCTTGGTAGAAGTATTGAGAAATTGTGGATTCAGGAATAAGTAGTGTAGTTGGACTTTTAGATGTATTAGTTCCTACCATTACTCTGTCTTGGTCAATGGAGTGGTGAAGGACTTCTTCCCAACTTGTAGAGGTATCAGGCAAGGGGACCCTCTATCACCTTTCCTCCTCACTCTAATAGCAGAGGTGCTTAGTAGAATGATCTCAAAGGCTGATAGAGAAGATGTGATTAAAGGGTGGAGAATAGGGAGGGATGGTATTTCGGTCACCCATCTCCAATTTGCAGATGATATTCTGATTTTCTGTGACGGGGATGATATTGAGAGAGTGAGGAATCTCAAGGAATTGGTTAGAAGCTTTGAAAGATGGTCAAATTTGAGTGTCAACTTCAAAAAGAGTTGTGTAGCTGGTGTTAACTTGGAGGATAGGGAGGTGGAGTTTATAGCAAAAAGTTTAGGATGTTCTATCTCGTCTTGGCCTATGACTTACTTGGGACTTCCATTAGGGGCAAACCCTAGGGAGAGTAGCTTTTGGTGTCCAGTGGTAGAGAGGTTCCAAAAGAAGTTAACTTTGTGGAGGAAAAACTACTTATCCTTGGGGGGTAGAATCATGTTGATAAGAGCCACACTTGCTAACTTACCAACCTATTTCCTGTCAGTGTTTAGGATACCACCTAGGGAAGCTAAGAAGCTAGAGAAGTTGATGAGAGACTTTCTTTGGGAGTTGGGGGAAAGTAAAAATGATCACTTGATAAAATGGGAGGTGGTTTGCCAGAATAAAGAGGAAGGGGGATTGGGGTTAGGGAATTTGATTAAAAAAAATAAAGCATTGCTGGGGAAGTGGCTATGGAGGTGGCCAGTGGAGAGAGAGAGAGAGACTTTGGCATGAGGTGGTGGGTAGTATTCATGGTCTCTCAGAAAATGGATGGGATGAGAGTATCATGGCAGGCAACCTTGGCAACACCTTGGAAAACTATTCATGACATTCTTCCTCAATTCCTCAGTTTTGTCAAGTATGATGTTTGCAATGATAACTCAGTCGTATTTTGGGAGGATACTTGGGTGGAAGAGGCTCCATTGAAGGACCTTTTCCCTTCTTTGTTCTTTGTTTCAAGGTACAAAAAGCATTTTGTGTCAAAGTTTTTTTCCATTATTAATGACCCATTAACACCAAATTGGGACTTTGGGTTTCGTAGAGGTTTAAGGGAAGAGGAAATTGTGTCTCACAAATCTGCTAAGTCTACTTGATACAATATGTCTGGACCCTTCTAAACCTGATATTCGGATTTGGACACCCCAGCGGAATGGATCCTTTTCATGTGCTTCTTTCTTTAAATCCATTACTCAGTCTACCCCCAATCAACCTTTCCCTTTTAAGGAAATTTGGTGCAGGCCTGTTCCCCCTAAGGCTATGGCTTTTTGCTGGGAAGTGTATTATAGGAAAACAAACATATTTGGCACTCTACAAAAGAGAAGACCTTTTCTCTGTCTCTCACCTTCCTGGTGTATTCTTTGCAGGTCACATGGTGAGGACTGCAACCATATACTAATATCTTGTTCATTTACTGTAGAGTTATGGGAGTGGCTCTTCTCATTGTTTGGGTGCAGGTTGGTTAGGCCAGCAGATGCAAGTTTGTTCTTTGGTCCTGCTTTCTTCTCTTGGCGGCACAAAAGAGGAAGAATTATGTGGAGGTGTGCAAGAGCAGCGCTGATTTGGTTCGTGTGGAAGAAAGGAATGCCAGAATTTTCCCAGAGAAGGAGAGAAGCCCAGAAGAGATGGACTGCATTCTAAATAGGGTGATCTTATGGCTAAAATCACTGGACCTATTCCATCATTTCTCATTCAATGATGTGTGGAGGAATTGGTTAGCAGTGGCTAATTGCTCTTCCATAAAAACTAAAGTGAGCATGGCTTGGGAACCCCTTCCTGAAAGATTCTTGAAGCTGAATTTCGACGGGAGTAGTCTTGGTAATCCTGGTCCATCAGGGATGGGAGGGGTGCTGAGGAATGAGAGTGGGAATGTGGTTCTTATTTTCTCAGGACCCATAGGAATTGGAAACTCTACTAGGGCGGAACTTGCTGCCGCTATCCAGGGTGTACAGTTAGCTGTGCAGATAGGTGTGGAACAATTGATAATAAAAGGGGACTCCAAGGTGGTAGTGGGCTGGCTACAAAATCTGGAATCTGTAGTGTGGTGTTTTAAGAATGAAATTAAAAAGTTCAACTGCCTAACAAGAAGCTTGACAGTGAGAATACAATGGGTGGGGAGGTCAGCAAACTCTATGGCTTATGGTCTTGCAAAGTAAGGGGTAAATAGGGAAAGTTTGTATTGGGCTCAATTGTAGACTGAATCTGTTTTCTATCTTTTGCCTTTCTTCCTACTGGTAGGAGAGGATGCAGCTCGCGCCTCTCAAGGGAAGCTTGTAACTGCACTAGTTTTATTAATGAAATTAATCCTTTTTAATTATCAAAAAAAATCCAAAAAACTGTTTGAGGTTCATTTTTCATCTCCCTGATGCCTAATACTGAAGCAAAGCCTACTGGTGGCAATACTAACGCCAGGCATTACATGCTTATTTCAATTGTACATGCTTTTCTTTTCTCAATTATACTGTATGTTATCTTACCTCCTAGTGACCTTAACCCATTCACTTTCTCAATAGAATGGATAGATATATGGTATATCTTGATATATCTGATAAGAAACTATCAGAAGCCTTATAAATAGTAAAAATTTCATTGAAGTTTGATTGATATTATTGATGTTAGCATTCTTAATGATTTTCTAGTGGTAAGGGTGATTCACTGAATTTCTATGAGAAAGGAATTTAAAAGGGTCACCATGGATTCCATTCCATGGGGATGTGGAGTGACAACTGGTTTTTCTCAGCCTAGTTGATCAGCAGCCATGAATGCCACCAGAAAGGGATAATTGGAATTGAATTTTGATGGCTGTTCAGTTGGAAATCCAGGTCCACCTGTTATAGAAGAGGTGGTCGGACGTCAGAGATGGTAACAAGAAAGTTATACCCATCAGGATGGGAAGATCTGGTAGTTGGAGACTGGAAGGTGGTAATAGGCCAGATGTCCTCTAGTTGTCCTTGGAAACTTTCACATTACATCCAAGAAGCAAGGCCATCAGCATATTAACTGAATATCTCACTCAGGTAGAGTCCAAGATTGGAAAATGACCTTGCCGACTCTCTTGCATGGGGAGGTGTAAAGGGCCACTCAGATGTGATTTCTTTTTATCTTTCTTCAGATTATCAGCCTTTATGCTGCATTTTAGTCCCTTGATTGTCATAAGAGGAGGGTTTATCATTTATGTTTTTTGACCAAGGAGCCATTTAATATAATTTTCACCAAGGGTAGTTCAGCACTTCAGCCAATATCTTCTCTCTATCTGCAATCAATTTTTCTTCTGAGACTTGACTGTAATTATGTTGATGATATATGTAGATATGTATATAATGTGTAAAAACTAGAATGAAAATAAAAGCTCCCTTTATTACACATTCCCCAACATCTGGCTTTCTCTACGCATAGAGTTCCTTCGGATCCCCACTGAAGTGGTTAGCTTTGATTTTTAGCTCCTGAAGGATCTGCTTAATTCTTGCTGTACACAGAATGCCACAGACTGCATAATCCCAGATTCCCAGTAAGGATGTGAGTCATCCTGAATGGACCCTTATAGAGCTTTAACTGTTTTCTCTTAATCCTGCAACCAGGATAGAGGGTAGGCAATAAGGCATATAACATAGTTGTTAAAGCGAATTTATAAAAGGTGCTTGCTTAAAAACAGCTTTTCTTCATAAGGTATCTAGGTGCTCCCCGGTTGCCTGGCTTCACCTTGGCACCTTGACGACATGGCTTATGGCTAGAATGAAACAAGTCAGATGGGACAAGGGTTTAGCCATTGGCGCTTTGGTCTCCCCTATGAGGTTGATTGTGATCTTAACAAAACTAGGCCTTGTTTCAGCTCTTATGGATGGCTACATAAATTGCTCAGGAGTTCTTAGATAAGCTCTGTTAATATCGAACATTTTGCATTGAATTGTGGTTCTCTGTCCAAATTCTGTGGGATGAGGTTTGGTGTCAACGGCTTGACAAATCTCCATTCTTTTCTGTTGTATGTTTCCTTCAATTTCATTAGCAAAGTTTGTAATGGAGGTGCACATGCTTCTGCAGTCATGGGTTTCACAAGTGACGGGGAATAGTTTAGGGTCCCCCCTAGTGGTCTGGTCGAAGTTTGCATTTCGCAGAAAGGATTTTGTATCTGTTTCTCAGGGTGTTGCTCCAGGTCTATTTTTTTGGACAGCTTTGAGCTCTTAGTTCTGTAATTGTAGGTTGAATCTGTACGAGCCTTGGTGTACTGCTTGACTCTTCTGTTTTGCTTGTTCGCTTGTGAAAATTTCTTGTTACCGAAAGAATATATTCAAAATCTGTCGAAATTATTGAAAACCTACTCTCGGATATACAGTTTATGGAACTGATTTGAAATTATGCTGATTCATTTTTTTTGGTAGATAAATTATGCTGATTCTCAGGTACAATATTCCCCTGATTTCAAGGATCATTTTCTATTTTTTCTTTGCCACTTGCGAAATCGAACAACTTACTACCCAAAAAACGGACAAGTGATTTTATTCTGTGGGTCCTACTGTCTATTGTGGTTCTCTTTGCTGACCTCTTGCTGGTGTAATGTGCGAGACCCATTTAAGAAAACAAGAATTAATTCATATTTGAGAACCAATACTTCTGATTCTTGAAAATCTCTGAAACCAAAACCCCTCCATTGGACTCTGTTCATGGGGAATCATACCATTGAAATTGGTGTGCAGTTGGAAACACTCCTAAGTTGCTGATAATGTTGTTCATAGAGCCAAATCATGAGGGATTGTCATGTTCTACAAGGAGCCAACATCTTCATGATAGATTTGGGTTGGTATAGCTCTCCTATTTTTTTACAATAGAAATGACTTGATACGTACGCATGTGCATGTGTACGTGTCAAATGGCTAAAAGGATCCCCTTAGTCGGACTCAGGCTTGAAATTGAGATCGAAAATATTAAGGCCGTGCATGCTAGAATGTTTTTGCTGTTCCCAGAAGTAAAAACTAAAAAGTAATTGTTTTTTGTCCTGAATATCTGAAATATTCTGATGGAACCTTACCAACCAGCACTCAGTGGCCAGGCTTGAGCTGGTCTTTCACTAGAATTTGAAGCACCCAAAGCAAAATAATCATATTGTCTTAACTCTTAACCTCTTAGGTTGAGCTCACGTAAAGGGCTGATTGCACTCCCTATTCAGACTGGTGGTGTAAGTGTAACATGGGCCAGGTTGATCCGCACCTGGACTTAACTCAGGCTGAGTTTGAGGGTTTGAGCCGTCTCAAGCTCAACGGATGTTTGATAGGCTGTTCTACTCTAGATTGGGCTGTTTTCGGGCTTTGTTAAGCTACCCAGTGAATCGGACCGAAATAATTAAAAGCTACTTTGCTTGGTTGGCTTCACTAGCCAAAATAATTAAGAGCTAGCTAAAATTTGAAGGCACTATTTTAGAAGCCCCAAGGCCAAGTATTTCAAACCTCCATTGACATTCCCTGGGTCAGGATGCAAGCTGGGGCTTAACCTAATCTCGGTCGACTTTGAGTTGGTTTGGGTTAACTTGGACTTGGAACATTCATAGAAAATACAACAAAGTAGTAAACATCCGTCAATGATTCAATCTGTTTGTGTATGTGTTCTTGTGGGCCATAAATATTGTATACCGTCTCGTTTGGATTCTGCAGTGGTACCACCAAAAGCCAAAAGCCGAGGTGTTCTCTTGTGAGGAAAGGAATATGAAACGCACCCCGGTAAATGATGGTTGATGGGTTCCCCAACTGTGCTCTTTGCCCAAAAACACCTCGTAAGAAAGTAACCATCTGTCCTGTTCCTGTAGACATTTTGCGACTGCTCGTCCATGTTTTTCTCTTTCTTTCTTCCTTTTTTCTTTTTTTTAATTTCAATATCATTCCATCAAGTTTTAAGCGTAAAGACACGGCTTGCTGAAAGGGTCGTTTGTCTTTGGCAACAGTGAGATTGGTTAGAGGTGGAGCACAGCTCCTCTTTAATGGTGGGTCTCACCTCACCCTTCATCTACAGTGTACCAACTTTGCAGGTGTACAGCGACTGTTATTCTGTTAACTCTGCTGCCCTTCCCGGCTGTTCTCTCTCTCTGGGGTTGGTAGAGTTGAGCTTTGGTGGATCTTAGATAATCAATCCTATTGGCCATTGGCTCCAAGACTGCAAAACCATTCAACTTGTAATTACAGACTGAGTCAGCCAGAGCTACGGCTTTATAAAATATTCATGGAGACTAATCTCACGTGAACCCACTTCTGACAATGTTGGATGGGATTTTGTTTCAAGAGTGGACGTTGATGTTAGATATGGGCTCCATTGACAATACACAGGGTGGATCTGGGTGTTTTTGTAATTGAAAATAATGGAGAGGGTTGCAGAAGCAGTTACATATACCATTGCCACCTGTGAGAGTGTGAGGTGTCATCCTCTTTACACTCGTAATCCTAATCCACCGTAGAGAGCTTCTTGCAATCTTTGCAACAACTCACAAGTCTTTTACCGAGACACTTGGTAACGACTCAGCTCTGGACCATTTTACATAAATCATGATTTCATTGCCAACAAAAACGAGTCCTTGTTGACAAGCAGCAGGGGTACAGCCTTTTATTTCTACTAGCCCTACTGAACACTGGCGAGTGTTCAGCGTTGTGGTTTCAAAAGACTCTGGAAGAGAAGAGAAAAAGGAGTGAGGAGAGTCTGAATCCATCCGCCACGGCCTAGCTACCACGACCAGGTTAGCTGCATGCCTGCATCATCAAGGACTAACTAATTAAAGCCATGACTTCCGCTGAAGCATCTTGCTGGACGATGTCATGTCCTGTTGGTTACGACCTATAAATGTATAATGAGGAATGCCCCTTTTTGGATGGGTCTGGCTTGTGTTGTACAGTACTGGACTTGACTATCTATTGAGTACCTGGGTTGATGTGATACTGGCAATGATTCCTGCTTTCTTTCGTGCTGTTGATGATGATGATGTGATACTGGCTCCATGTTATCTTATGCGTTCTCTAACAGTGTTAATTAAGATGTCATGTCAGATCCACCTCCTCCCTCGGCTCTTGGGTCCCCAAACGAGCAGAGATATCAGATAGATACACCTTACTCGGAGGCTGAGCTTTCAGGTTTTTTGGGTTGCCATGGGCTGTGCCTCAGCCTCAAGTACACGGCGAGCTTTGGCTGTGCTAGGCGGTGCTCCTTCAGCTTCAGGTTCAGGCTTCAACCCATGACCCAAAACCCATCATAATCAATAATCATTGTCTAGTTGCTGTAAATGATTTTGTCATTGCACAGAT